GAGGCAAGCCATTGATGAAGTCCATGGAAACACTCTCCCAAGGTCTACTTGGAATAGGGAGGGGTTCCAAAGTACCTGCCACCTTCTTCCTCTCTATCTTGTCTTGCTAGCACACCAAACAAGTGCGCACATACAGCTCCACATCTGCTTCCATCCGGGGCCAATAATAGTTTTCTGCTAGCAAGGCAAGAGTCCGTTGATGCCATTGATGTTCTGACCATAGAGCATCATAAGTTTCTTTCAGCAACATCTGTCGAAGTCCGCCTGACTTCGGCACATAGGGTCTCCTTCCCTTGGCGTAGAGAACCTCATCCTCTACCCAAAACCGTCGAGTCACCCCTTCATGGACCTGCTTCAACAATAAAGCTGGTCACTGGATCATCTTTTGTCTGACCCTGAATTCTCTGTAGTATGTCTCCTGCAATCTGGCTAAGTGCAGCAACCGTCCCATCAGCAACTGGAATTCGACTAAGAGCATCAGCAACCTGATTTGCACTGTCAGGCTTGTATTGTAACGTGAAATGAAATTGGGCAACAAAGTCCTGCCATTTTGCTTGTTTTGGTGTCAGCTTCTTCATGGAATTGAAGCAATTNTTTGCACTGCCAGACTTATACTACAACGTGAAATGAAACTGGGTAAGAAAGTCCTGTCATCTTGCTTGTTTTGGTGTAAGTTTCTTCATTGAATTGAAGCAGCTGATAGCCACATTATCTGTCAGCACAAGGAAATGCTTCCCCAACAAGTAATGCCTCCATGCATTAATGCAGTGAATGACTGTTGTCATCTCCTTCTCATATATTGAATACCGCCTCTCGGTATCATTCAGCTTCCTACTTTCAAATGCCACCGGATGCCCATTCTGCACCAACACCCCTCCAAGAGCAAAGTCTGATGCGTCTGTATGGACTTCAAAAGACCAATCGAAGTCAAGTAAGCGTAAAATTGGGCTAAACGTCACCACCGCCTTCAATCGATCGAATGTCTCCTAGCATTCGTAGGACCAGTTCCATGTCCTATCCTTTCTTAGAAGATCAGTCAGCACAACGACCTTCTTTGAGTAATTCTTCACGAATTTTCGATAATAGTTTGTCAAACCAAGAAAAGAACGCAGTTCAGTAACGTTAATAGAGATAGGCCAATCTACAATGGCCTCAACTTTTTTCGGGTCCATCTTCACCACGCCCACAGAAATAATATGCCCAAGGAATAAAATTTTCTTCTGGGCAAACTCACATTTTTTTGGTTTCAAATACAACTGGGCTTTCCTTAACTTTGTCAAGGCCAGCCTAAAATGCTCAACATGCTCCTCAAGAGTCTGACTATAAACAACTATGTCATCCAAATAAATCACCATGAAGCGGTCTAAGTATTCTCGAAATACATTGGTCATCAAGTTACAGAATGTAGTAGGGGCATTGGTTAAGCCGAAAGACATAACTAAAAACTCATATGACCCGTACCTTGTCACACAAGCAGTCTTCGCCTCATCTCCCTCTACAATTTTGACTTGATGATATCCCAGCCGCAAATCCATCTTGGTGAAGAAAATCGTCTTTCCCAATCTATCAAATAGTTCGTCGACAAGCGGCACTGGATAATTATTCTTGACAGTGATTTTGTTGAGCGCTCTATGGTCTACATAAAGCTGTAAGGATCCATCCTTCTTTTTCTGAAACAGAACAGGGGCTCCATAGGGTGCCTTGGAAGGTTGAATGAACCCAATGTCCAATAAACCCCCAAGCTGTCTCCTTAGCTCCGCCAACTTTGATGGAGACATTCGATAAGGAGCCTGGGCAGGGATTTTTGCCCCTAGAATCAACTCAATGGCATGGTCAATCTCCCGTCTTGGCGGTAACCTTGCTGGCAATTCTTTAAGTGCCACGTCCTTGAACTCAACCAGCAATTGTTGCACTGGTTCAGGAACTTGCAAAGCTTTGGACTCCTCTTCTTCAAATAGAACAGTCAAGTATGTTGCTTCCCCCTTTCGCAAGCCATCTTTTACTTGCAAGGTAGACAACATTTCCCTCGAATACTTGGCCTTAGTGAGGGGAACAAAGCAAGGATTGGGCATATCCATCACGAACATCCCATGTAAATGCGACATAACAGACACCTTTGCTTTTGTAAGGAATTGCAGTCCAAGGATTACCTGAAAAACATCGAGAGGGACTGTCATAAAATCACATGATCCTTGCCAATCACCAACTTTTAAAGGGACTTCTCTTGCGACGCCGCCTACTGGTTTTGCCTCTGAATTCACAGCCTTAATCTGGCTAGAGTTTTTCACCAAAGCTAGACCAAGCCGCTGTACTTCCCGATCAAAAATAAAATTATGGGTTGCCCCTGTATCAACCATTGTCTGGACAGTCACATTGTTCAGACGAATCTGCACAAACATCAACCTCCTCTTTTTCACTGTCTCCTCTTTATGAATTGCATTAAGGAGTTGTAATGGGTTGACTCGTGTTGGTTCGTCAGAACAGTCAGTTTCCTCAGCCATGAGGGCACTGAGCTTTTCCTTCTTGGGGCAATTTCTGGCAAGATGAGGGCCATTACAGATAAAATAGCCTGAGCCAACACCTCCCTTTGATGAAAAGGCTTTGGCAGACGATTTTTCTGAATTGCCAAACTTCTCAGCCTTTTTCTTCTGATTGTCCTTCTTAGTAAACTTGGTTTTCCCTTTCGGCTCCTTCTCTGGAGGATTAGCCTGCGTTTTATAGTCAACCAATGCATCTACTGCGGACATAGCAGCGGGTAAGTCCTTCACCCCTTGCCGACGAAGTTCTGCCTGTGCCCAAGTTTGGAGACTAGACATAAAGTTGAACAGCTTGTATTCCTCTGACATATTTTTAATGTCAAGTATCAGAGACGAGAATTGCTTCACGTACTCCCTCACGGTGCTTGTATGTCGAAGTTTCCTCAATGCATCACGGGCTTGCCAAACCGTGTTACTGGGAAGTAATTGTTCCTTCATTTCAGCGGACAGAGACTCCCAAGTAGTAATTGAAAGACGAGATTTGTCCTCAGAACGTGTTTGCCACCATAATTTAGCATCACCAGATAGGTACATGCTAGTGAGATCTATCTTCTCAGCATCCGAAATGCAGACTGCTTGGAAGTAGTGCCCCATATCCCACAGAAAATTCTCAAGTTCTTTAGCATTACGACTGCCTATGAAAGGCTTAGGATCAAACACTTTGGCTTTCTGAGTGCTTTCACTGCCAGAAGCCAAAGAAGCATTTTGTAGTGCCTTCTTGAGCACTGAAACGTCTGTCTCGAAGAAACTCACTTTTTCCCCCATATCATCGGTCCATGTGGAGATCGTAGCCAGCACGTCAACAACTTCGTTCTTCACTCGACTGAAGTGATCAAATTCAGTCTTTTGAAGTTGTTCATGTGCAACCCGCATCTCTTCAAACCGTTGATACAACAACTCAAGTTGCACAGAGAGAGCCACAGCATCACCGGACTGTGGAGGACCAACCAATTCCTCCAAACGTGCCACCTTTTCCCTCAGATCTGCATTCATTCCGCCAGCCATAGTTGATTTGTTGCCAGAACCACGCTTTGATACCAAACTGTCACAGGGTAACTTTCATTTTTTCTTCGAGGCTACCTGTGAAGGCGTTGCTACTGCAACCAGCCACACTCAAACTCAAGAACAAGGGACAGAAACTCACACAGAAGGCACACACGAATTTACTGGGATAAAACTCTCAAACCTTATATATTGAACTCAACAATTTATAAGGACTCTCAAAGTCAAAACACTCTCTCCTCATCAGAATGCTCAAACAACCCTATTTATACAGGAGTAAGGCAGATAACACCCACATCTGCCAAGGGGTAGTTACACACGTTTTTGTTATTCATAGCATACTGGGCTAGCAGGCTTGATCTCCGTGCGACACCTGACAGGCAGTTCCGCCACTTTCAGTAACTGTTGTGGAACTGCTCTTCATCAGCATGCATCTAGACTGGATTCAGACTAGAGACGTCCAGAACTGCCTCAACAACTGCCTTGACTGTGTCTCAGCATCATAACCGCCCACATCCTCCTGGTCACATGCATTGAACAACCATGTGCTAGTTAAGTGTCCACATTCAGCAGTCATGTGCCAGTCAAGTGCCACATTCAGCAGTCAGCTTGGTTACACGACCCAATAGTGCCCACAATCAATTGAATAGTGGTTTATTCTGGGACACGTGAGAATTAAATTGAAGAAAAATTATTTTTGTCAATTACAACTAAAAAAGTTGATAATTAAGCAAATGAACAAAGTGTTTCCCAGAGTCTCTCGTGCGCCACTTAACTTTCAAGTCATTGGCTTACTCTGCTTGTATTGAAATCATATTATTAGTGTCCTTCATTGGCCTGCTTGTATTCACATCATATGGAAACAATATCATCTCTGTTGATGTCCGAAGATATTATGAAATAAACAAAAATAATTGTTCATGCAAGGTTCTATGTAATGTCAAATTTGGGCATTTCTTGCCACTGGGCCAACCTTACCTACCACAAGCGAAGCAAGCCATAGCATATTAAGGAGAGGGGAAGCAAGAAAGTGCAGCAGAAATTGGGGGAAAAGGCAGAAAATCAAAAAAAGAAGAGTTAAATTTTGAATTTAAGGAGTTTGAGTTTAGAACGCATTTCTGTCTGTACGAACCTATCCCATGGGATTTTATTTTAATACATATGCACACATATAAGTGTGTTATTTTACACTCAAAATGCATGTAGATTATTTTCACAAAACAATAATTAATCATGATTTTATTTTATTTTATTGAAATGATATTTTTATTTGGAAAAAAATGTCAGTAAACCATGTTTACGAAAACAATACCTAAATTTACATGACGAGTTCAACCTTTCGATTCCAAAAAAAAAAAAAACCCTAAAAAGAAAAGGAAAAACAAAAAAAGAATGCCCTTCATAATTCATTTTTTTTGACCTTTGAATCCCTGACCTTGAAATTCCTTGCTTCTAGTGAGTCTAAGAGAGGCCCAATGTTTTGAGGTGATGGTTCATGTCATCTGGGTGGTCATCCAATCTGGGCCGTTCAGGCTGAATCCAACGCCCATCCTTGCTTCTCACCATTCCTTTGTTCTCATCTTGCCTCCAGTTAGGTGGAACACAGTGGTGGTCCTTCAAGAAGTCACAAGCCTTGTTCACAAGTGCAATGTCTCTTCCACTTGCTAGCACAAATCTATGGCCTTTCCCATGGTATCTGCATCACATAAAGCCAAATTAACAGTCAATTTACTCCGCCAATCTTTAAATTCCCAAGTAATTGTTATGCACAAGGTACCCACCTTGCCCTAAACAAATGTGCAATTTCCCTTGGTCATGCCCTGAAATGGGTAGCCCAGAAATTTCTATCTAATATATTTAAGTCTTTTTGCATCTGTCGATATTTATATTCTATTAACGAAAAATTATTATAATCACCTGCTATTTGAATTCAAATTCTCAACTCAAGACTTCAGACTTCATATGCACAAAAGTTCTTACAAATTATTTGTATCAATCAANGCAAGCCATAGCATATTAAGGAGAGGGGAAGCAAGAAAGTGCAGCAGAAATTGGGGGAAAAGGCAGAAAATCAAAAAAAGAAGAGTTAAATTTTGAATTTAAGGAGTTTGAGTTTAGAACGCATTTCTGTCTGTACGAACCTATCCCATGGGATTTTATTTTAATACATATGCACACATATAAGTGTGTTATTTTACACTCAAAATGCATGTAGATTATTTTCACAAAACAATAATTAATCATGATTTTATTTTATTTTATTGAAATGATATTTTTATTTGGAAAAAAATGTCGTAAACCATGTTTACGAAAACAATACCTAAATTTACATGACGAGTTCAACCTTTCGATTCCAAAAAAAAAAAAAAACCCTAAAAAGAAAAGGAAAAACAAAAAAAGAATGCCCTTCATAATTCATTTTTTTTGACCTTTGAATCCCTGACCTTGAAATTCCTTGCTTCTAGTGAGTCTAAGAGAGGCCCAATGTTTTGAGGTGATGGTTCATGTCATCTGGGTGGTCATCCAATCTGGGCCGTTCAGGCTGAATCCAACGCCCATCCTTGCTTCTCACCATTCCTTTGTTCTCATCTTGCCTCCAGTTAGGTGGAACACAGTGGTGGTCCTTCAAGAAGTCACAAGCCTTGTTCACAAGTGCAATGTCTCTTCCACTTGCTAGCACAAATCTATGGCCTTTCCCATGGTATCTGCATCACATAAAGCCAAATTAACAGTCAATTTACTCCGCCAATCTTTAAATTCCCAAGTAATTGTTATGCACAAGGTACCCACCTTGCCCTAAACAAATGTGCAATTTCCCTTGGTCATGCCCTGAAATGGGTAGCCCAGAAATTTCTATCTAATATATTTAAGTCTTTTCGCATCTGTCCATATTTATATTCTATTAACAAAAAATTATTATAATCACCTGCTATTTGAATTTAAATTCTCAACTCAAGACTTCAGACTTCATATGCACAAAAGTTCTTACAAATTATTTGTATCAATCGAACTCATTGTAATCAGATAATTCAAACTTAGAACGTGTAGACTATGATTTGTCCATGTACAAACTAACCCATGCGCCAGGATTCATTCCTCAATGCTTGTGATTTCACTTGCTAAACTTATGTACACAAAGCTATTGGGTTGATTTAATTAATAAATTTGGAGGTTCCTCGGAATAAATATGTGACCATTGCTCACTTTCATCTGATGCTTGTGGGTTAAACCAATTGAGACAATATTATTATAATATTCATCCACCAGCTATCATGATCACAGCCACCTATTGTATGGTGGAGATGATCTCATCTTGATATGGATGTTCTTTATTTTATTTTTGGACGAATTGCACATTGCTCCATGAAAGATTTAAATTTTTTAAATTTATATATTCAATGATTAAATTTTTTGTATTAAAAATATTATAATGTAATCGTTTTGTTAGTTTTTATTACTCGTATCGTCAATATTAATAAGGTGACTTTTTACAAAATAAGCATTAAAAGGATCTCATTATAATACCTTTAATATATTATAGATGCAACATAAAATTTTAAATAAAAAAGCTTAAATCTTTTGATGTGCCAAATGAGATTTCCCTTTATTTTTCCTATGTTCTTTAGCCATGTCCAAGTCCGATTATGTTTCCCCACCCACCTAACAAAAAATTATTCGTTACAATGGTGATATTATTTGACAATGTTGATGTAATATCACCAATTAATAATATTAAAATAAATAAATAAATGAGTTCTACTAAAATTAATAACTAATCTTTCAGGCAAGTAAATAATTATTCTCTCTTGTTCCATATAAATAAATAATTATTTAAATAAAATTTATTTTATTTATTTAATATTTTATTATTAATTAATAATATCACATCAACATTACTCACCTGATATAGTGGTTGCATTCAATATTCCATCGAAGATGAGTAGCTTTCTTACCAACTATACATTGCCTTACTTTTCTAGTATCACTATCACCGAAAGTCAATGAGACACATTAATGCCAAACACCAACTTGAACTCATTTGTAGCTTTTTTTTTTTTGGTTATAGACTTATAAAGGATTAAGTTTTATGTCAATTATTCTCTCGAATTTAGATATTAGTCATTATAATTTGAACAGATTTAAAATGCATTTATAGCTATTTGAAGTGTTACATGATTGCAATAATATGCATCATTTAGAAAATAAGTGACAAAATGATGTGATAATCACATGGTTTATTTTTTAACTTTTTAAGTAGTGTTTATTAGGTAATTTTGATATTTTGCTATTTCTTTATGCGAATTTGTTCATTTTTGGAAGTTTAATCTTATTTAGTACACACATGCAAATGTATGTTGGCATTATATATATATATATCACCTTTTTTGTTATATAGTAATTAAAATATTGTTTGACGAAATTAATTTCTAATTTAAAAAGAGTTCCTAGAAAAACTTTAGGGGGGAAAAATTGACTAACCCGTCAAGAAGATGCAAGTGAGCTTCCAAGTTATGGGCACAAACCGGGTCGCCATCTTCTTTCAAGAACGGGGAGTTATTGTGATCCAAGGCAAGCTCGACCCCAACGTGCGAATAACTCCACGGCAAATTCTCGGCGAGTTTCATCAACATCGCCGGCAATGTTTCATTGAAAAACAATCCCGGCGACTTCGGAACTATGTCATGAACATTCACCACTCTCAAAACCTTCACTCCCAATCTCTCAAGCCTCTCCTTAAACCTCACATTCCCAACCCTCGGACCAGAAAAAGAGAACACACAAATCGGCACAGCCCTACTGTTCTTCTGTACATTCAGACCCGTTTCAACGAGATCATAGGCACTCATTATCGCCAATGCAGCTCCTAAACTATGGCCTGTGATCGTTATACTCAATTCCTCATCTGGGTATTTTTCTAACAGTCTCTTTACTTCGGTTAAGATTTGTTCTCTGGCTGAAAATTTGCAGAACCGGCAAGTTTCGTTCTTGTCGGTGTAGAGATCGAGAAACCCAGATTCAACCTTGACCGTTGGATCTGGGCATGGTATTTTGTCGTCGGAGATCGGCCGGAGGAAATCCATCAAGTCGGCGATCCATTCCAGCCGTGTCACCGTTCCTCTCCAGGCGATGGTTATGTCTCGCCGGCCTAAACGCTTCGATGTTTCGTCGTTTGAAACTGCTACGTATCCGATCCAGTTGGCTTTTTTACTCCACACTTTGGGCCATCTTGATTTCTTGAAGAAATTTGGGAGGTTGATGTTGGAGGTGGCGTAGAGGTATCGAGAAACTTCATAGCCATGGTCGACCATGCCTAGACGGTCGAAGAAACTGTGTCTGTTGAATCTGCAACTTCCACAGTACATGGAAGAAGGATCAAAGTCGAAAGCATCGTAACAAGCTTGTGCCATTTCACCGTATCGAATGAGCTCAGTGCGTAAGAGAGGGTCCATTGGATCAAGCAAACCAACCCAATCATCTTCACCATGCATATCTTGCCAACAATCGACTAATCTTTTCTCTGCTTGCTTTTTCCTTGTCACTTCTTCTTCATGAGCTTGTTTTACAAATTCAGTTCTGGTGGATGATAAGGAATCACTGGGTTTTGACAAAACTCGGCCTGTGGTATGCTTTCTTGCAATGAATTCTCTTCTTTCCAAGCACCCATATCGAGATATTTGGCTAAAAACTGGAAATGAAAAGGGTTTTCCAGATTGACAAGGATGGTGCTGGGGTGTTTTGAAGGTAAGAGACATATTGGAGAGAGAATTGGCCATTGGAGCTCCCTGTGAATTTGCTCAAGGTGTGGGATAAATCGATAATAAAACTATTGCATTGCTGAACCCTAAAGGATGGCATTTATCTATTAAAAAAAAATGAATTGTTGGTCATCATTCACGTGGGCTACTTTAGGTCTTACGAGGTGACCTAATCTCTTGTTTTCATGATAACTTCTGTGCAACAACCACACTTTATTAATCTAATAATTACAAATGTTATGGGACATAATTTAAGGATTCATTGAATTGTGATTATTAGATTAATAATATTAATAATTTAATATTAAAATTTATTAATAATCTAATAGTCATAACTATTTTATTTTTTGATACATCGGAAAAGAATAGCCATGACTATTAAGTTGTTAAATTATGTACCACTAGCATTGCTCTCCAACAATACGGTGATCAGGGGAAATTCCTCCTTTCTTCTTTTTACCCGGACAATTTAAGTACGTACCCACCACAGCAGCGTATGCGAATGGGAGGCATGGCTACTCTGCGTTGATATAGACTTAAAAGTATATTATTATTGTGGCTCAACTAGCTACCCATCAACCATGGTCAAAGTTATAGTATGGGACATCGATTCTCTGAGCTCTGAAACACATTGAGTAATTTACATCCTAATCTCAATGGAGCAAATTTGGACCATTTTGAAACCCACCCCCAGGTGGTAAAATTCACTATTTGTATTGGTCCGAGAATACCCTAATTGTTGAATTTCCATTGCTTAAAAATAAACCAAACATAAATTATGTGATACTCCGAACTATTTTTGTTTCAATCTCACCCATTAGTCCACCCTTCTCCCATGAATCAACCGGACCCGGACAAGTGTGAATTGACGAAAATAAAGACTTGATGCATAGATCCGTGGCCCTGGCATACGGGCCTAAAATAATATTTCTCCCGTGGCTTGGGAGCCCACAAACTCTCAACCCCACCCCAAGTATCCCAGAGTAGGTAGAACAATCTTTTAGCACAAAATAGGCAAGATAGATGGTTCACAATTATAAGAGAAAGGTATGTACACCTCACAAGCACCTTTTTCAAATTATCTAAACATTGCCGGAAAGAATCACTAAAAACTAACAAATCGTCCATGAACATATTCATTATCTTCTCTACCAAATCATTGAAAATTTACATCATACACCTCTGAAATGTACTTGGAGTATTGCACAATTCAAATGACATCCAACAATAAACAACCATCATCCCAAAGGGGCAAGTGGTTAAACAACTATCTACTTTAAAAATGTAAAATTTTAGTATTTATACTTTAACATGTCCCCACACGTGAAAATAAATGTCCCAAAGGGGCAAGTGGTTGAACAACCATTTACTCCAAAAACATGTAACTTTAGTATTTATATTTCAATACATCTCCACACGTGTAAATTTTTTAAAAATTAGAGTGACGGTGAAATTCGAACAAGTGACATTATGCTCTAATATTAGATTAAACAACTATCTATTCCAAAATTTTAAGTTTTTAAAAAAAGTGTAACTTTAATATATATATATTTCAACATGTATACCTACTTTTTCTTTTCTTTTATTCATTGGTTTGTTTGAACCATTCATGATTACTTTGATCAAATATCACTCGCCCATGAAAAGGTAATTGCTATTTTTCAACGACGAGCAAATTTGACTGCAATGCAAGAGAAGTCTTTGTTTCTAATATATGAAAAACCCATTTCTAGTCCACGTTCTTGAATCCATTTGACGAGATTTGTTGATTATTTGAATCGTAGAGCAAGCAAAAGTCTAAAACTTCAAAAGGCCGACCAAGCCAGAGCCGGTCCAAGGGGGCAACAAATACCCTAAATTACATGGTTGGTGGACAAGTTCTACTAATTCCTAATGATCATTTCAAATGGACGGATTCAGCAATTCAATGTGAGGAGTCATTTTTTCAAATTTTTTGAAAAAGTCCCGGACATGAACTTATATGATTTAAAGTATTTCAAAATCTATGATTTAAAGTCTTATCGACTTAAGGTGATAAACAGGTGGANTCAATGTGAGGAGTCATTTTTTCAAATTTTTTGAAAAAGTCCCGGACATGAACTTATATGATTTAAAGTATTTCAAAATCTATGATTTAAAGTCTTATCGACTTAAGGTGATAAACAGGTGGACTTACTAGACTCATTGAATAAATGAGTCGTATTCAGGTGAGATATGTCAATTTATTTATTATTTATTTAAATAAAATTTATATAATAATAATTAATAATTATTCAAAACATTTTTTAGAGAAACCCACACAAAATATATAAGCCCCCAAAAATTACCCTTATTCCAAACACTAATGCTTCGTCTGGTATGGAAGAAAAATAAAAGAATAAAAAATTAGAAGGGTAAATAAAAATATCATGTTTGGTAAAGAAGAAAAATAAGAAGAATAGAAAAGTGGATAGATAGGTTTTCTTTCTAATTCATCAAAATTAATCCCTCCAAAATCGAAAGGAAAGTGAATAAAAAGTTAAATATTTGTATTAAAATGTATTTTATTTGTCTATATATCATTTGATAGATACATATGTTGTGTATATATTAATTTTATATATAAATAAAATGATAAAATATATATTTATACTTTTTAAAAAAAAAATTTTAAAAGTAAAAAAATTTATTTTTTCAATCTTACCAAACAAAAAAAAAATTAATTATTTTTATTTTTCATTCATACTACAAACACAAAAGAAAAAATGTGTATCATTTCTATTTTATTTCTTTGAAAGATAAAAAGTGCATCTCTCCTACTTTTCATCATTTTTACTGAGCATCTTCAACCCTCCTCTTTAAAATAGTTAGTGAAAATATATTTAAATATTACATTCACTACTTTAACTATTTATTTTTATAAATTCACTCCAACCACACTCTCTATTTTAGCTAGCTACTACACCCAATTTTCACTAACATCCAATAATTTAAAAGAAATAAAACATATATATAGAGAGAGATAGAGAGAAAAAAAGGTAAAGAAAGAATTTAGAGAGTTCAAATGGCTCACCACATTTTGTGAGCCATTTGGATTAACTAAGAAATAGAGAGCGGAATAGAAAGTGGGTTAGAGAGAATTTTTTGTGTTTGACTACTTAAAGTAGTTAAAAGAGAAGAAATAGAAAGTGAGTTAAAGATGCTCTAATGTTACGCTCACTAAATTTTGAGATTAAATTAAAAACCCAAATGGAGTATTACACTTTTTCACTCGAATGAGGCCTGTCCGCCTCCTGCCTCCTGCCTCCTGCCTCCATGTCCGGCCTCTCTCTCTCTCTCTCTCTGGGGCTTGAGGTGAAACCCATCCTCACTGACTGAATCTCTCACTCTGGCGAGTCTCAAAAACATTCGATCTCTCTCCTTCGATTTTAACCACAGATTTTGGGGTTTCTTTGTACCTCCTTAGATTTTGTGTATGTATTGTCTGTAGTTTTTGTATATGTAGATTCAACTTTTCTATTCTCATTTGGCTAGTTAAAGGCTTCAAGCACATGAGAAAAACATACTTTCTTTTGGTATTGATGAACAAAAAGGGTTAAACAGGTGGTGGGTGGTTAACGTGGTAACCCTACTCGATCTTACTCAACAGTATTTATTTAAAATTAATGGGTTAAACGAGTCATATCGTGTTATTTGTTTATTAAACGGTTGATATTTCTATTGAGGTTTTTCATCTGTTTATTAAATAGGTCGTGTACAATTTTATTTATTTTTTATCCATCACACATTTAATCCGACACGTAACCGTTTAACCCGACACGATTGACAATCCTAATATTAATTGAACTGAGCTTGAACCTGAGCTTGACGATTTATTTTTCTAAACAAACCTAAAAAATTATTTAAGTTCAGATTCTTTAGAACTCGATCTGAACCCGAGACTGAACCAAACTCAAGCCAAGCTCGAGTAGCTCGACAATTTTACATGTACATGAGTTGAGCTTTGCGAACTTGTTGGATAATAAACTAGAGGACATAATAAGAAATAAAAAAAATATATTATTTGATTTACTTATAAAAAAATACAGAACATGTGTTCTTAATAACCTAAAAAATTGCGCAGGGATCTATTGACCAAAAATTCTCATGTTATACTTAATTTCAATTTTTACAAATATGTATAATCTTATCCTTCTACGTAATCGATCATTCATCTTACTAAGCTCACCCCAATCCTCACCCCACCCCACCCCATTAACTATAACTTTAACAATTTCATAAATCTGAAAATATTAAAAATTAAAAATTAAAAATTCATCTGAAAAGTAGATATTTCTCATTTGAATAACAAATGAATACTAGTGTAATCAATTAAAAAAAAACCTAGTGCATTACACCAAATATCAGTGGATTAAGCCAAAAAAAAAAACNTTAACTATAACTTTAACAATTTCATAAATCTGAAAAAATTAAAAATTCATCTGAAAAGTAGATATTTCTCATTTGAATAACAAATGAATACTAGTGCAATCAATTAAAAAAAAAACCTAGTGCATTACACCAAATATCAGTGGATTAAGCCAAAAAAAAAACTCCGTAAAGCCATGCGCCAATGACCGTTGCAGTAAGCCACCTTGCAGTCTTTGATGAATTTTTCCATTTTATTTGAGTTTCATTTAGAATATGAGCATTTTTGGTCTATTTAAAGAGTAAAGGGTAGTTTTTACATTTTTAAAGAATATTAAATCAAAATTTTCACTTTTCCGCTTATCAAAGATGACTGTTAACAAGAAGGGTGTGTAAGTGATTCAAAGGTATAATTTAGAAGAGGATGCAATGCAATTTCAAAAGATGTAGGGAATGTCATTAAATATATGCATAACAAAAGGGGGCGTGGATGGAGTTTAACTTAATCAAAGATATCAGATTACAATGTGCCAGCCCCAAAATAGGGTCTCTTGTCCTGAACCTCGCCGCAGCTTCGCGTCCCCTGTACGTTTCGTTTTTTTCTCTATTTATAAGTTTAGCATATTGTATGTTTGTGTAAACGTATAGGTGGTTGGGTTTTTATGAATTTTGTAGGTAACAAAATAAAGAATTTAGCATAGTTCAACTATTGAATATGCAGTCCTCCTGCTTCTTGTTGGCTTGAGCGAATTTGATTTTCTTTTACACTACTTAGGGTTCATGTGATCAGATGTTTTTTCGTTGAATATCAAGCTATGGTGCTCACAATTAGACTTGTATTGACACATGAGGTACTGTTATTTTTTTTAGTTTCATGTTGCAGTGTTTTCGAGATGATGAGTTTGATTTCGCAAAATGCAATCCCTAAAGACCGGGTCAAGAAAATTAAAAGTAAGGATAATGAGGAGCCTTAAATTGTTGAGGGCAAAGAAGATACTGAAGATAAGCTGCAGGAATCTGATTCCGATTCTGATGTATTAATAAATAAGAAGAGGAAGAAAGAGCGCATGGAAGAGAATAAGCAATTGAAAATTGACCAAGAAAGGGAAATGAAGAAGCTAGAAAATATATATCTTTCTAGTTTCATCCAAAACTAAGGAACTGATTGGAACACTCAAAGATGAACGGCACTGTTCGTTCATTGGCTAGTACAACAATTGCTGACTTCTGGAGGTGATGGGCAGGTCTACCACTGGGATTTGAGAACAAAGGCCTGCTTCCACAAGGGCGTTGATGAAGGTTGCATAAATGATACGACACTTTGCACTTCCCGGAGTGGATCTTTGTTTGCCGCTGGTTCAGACATCAGAGAGGAGTTTTTAAGGGGCATGAGGAAACCACTCAAGACCATAGTGAACCTTACCGCTAAAGTGGATTTCATGAGAGTCAACAATGATGCTCAACAATGGATTTCAAGTGAACATATTTATATATAGTTACGTAGGTATATACTTCATCAAAAAGAAAACAAAAAACAGAATATGCTGTCCTGACTCCCGGCCATCTTCTGCCCATCTATTGAAACCTAAACCCTTCACTTTGCTAAAAGATGCGGGTAAACAAAAAACTAGAGGAGGGGGGAAAAGATACTTAGTTTCTTCCTATAATTAATTATCTAAAAAAGTACAGTTTCTTCCTACCACCTCTGATTAACCAAAAAAAATGAGAAATAAATCAACACTGCATCTTCAACTCAACAACCCTAATTATATATCTTTGACGTGAGCAGGGACAATGTCAGCTTGCAAGATGAATTGGCATCAGCTTCGTTGCTTTCTAGGGAACAGGATCATTCTAAATATTTCAAAACAGCTTCACTATACCCACCAGGAAATGGGGCCCAAACCATCAGCATCAAGTGATCCCTGTCGAAATACAAGGAATTTATTACAACAATTACTAGCCGCTGCTATATNGGAAATGGGGCCCAAACCATCAGCATCAAGTGATCCCTGTCGAAATACAAGGAATTTATTACAACAATTACTAGCCGCTGCTATATAAGCAAAAAGGACATCGCCTTCCAGAAATTTTTTGAAACAGTGAGCATTATCTACGTACACTCTCTGTAACCGTTAAAGAAGAAAGTATAGTGCACTCCCTTAAGTTATATGAACTCCAATATCACCAAAACTATACTGCTAAGCATTTGGCTGAAAAGTAAGATTTTATTTCATTGGAGAAGAAGACAGGCTACCACAAAACCATCTCAAATAAACTATGACCATCAACTCAATCCTGTCATGATCCAAAGATGAATAATCTAAGAGCAATCACGATTTCAGTTGCATTATATAACATGCGAGCATATTTCTACAAATTGTACCATATTTCTACAAATTGTACCGTTTTATTTGGGACAAATACTAGTATAAATTACATACTTAACTGCACACAGGTCACCTAAACCGTTCCTCTAGTCAATCTAAAGCTACAAGAACTAGCTGCCTACTGTCAAGGTCCAACAGATTCTGTCATAGCCATGGATAAGATCAAGTGAACCTCTGCGAGGCTTTGCTGGCGCCGGACAGATGACATTGCAAAGCTTTGTGCACGTTTTCTGGCGCACTGGTAAATGGCATGGCCATGGCAAGCAATGCATCACATGTTAGGAATTCAGTGGAAGGCCTGGTTCCCAGGTTGCTGCAGCCCAAGATGGCATGTGACTGATAAATGTCAACCATAAGGGTACATGGATGAATTTAAAATTTTCAGTTTGTCAAGGCAGAAAGGAAGCTTCAGTAGTGAGGTTGAATCAATGATTTAAATGTGCTAAGAGTACAAGGGCTCGTGGCCCTATATTGATCTAATTACCTTATGGATCCATATATAGCTTTAGATAAGAACACAAGATGGATCCCCAGATGCTCATCCACACAATTGTTTTTAAGAGCAGTTCTATGCTCCTCGAGCGTACTACAAGGAAGGTGCAGGGTGGAAGAGGCTCGTCTTGTTATTTTCGGCATCTGTGCTACTTTTGGGTGCCTGCCTAAATTTTATTTTAAATTTTCTAATTCATCGTTCACTTTTTGAATTCCTATCTCTTCTCTATTTAGCAACATCAATTCTCATTTCTATAACAAGAAAAATTGGACACACTCCACCATAAAATATATTAACATACTATGTAATCGAAATTCTTTCCAAAAATCAGCAGTATTTTGTGGGCAGTTGAATCTAAGATAGCCTTCAAAGGAAAATCTAGCTAGGTAAAACCACAGCTCGAAGCAAAATGGAATGAAGTTCAAAAGTGTACTTACGGTGACCACCATAGGCGCAAACGGTTTTGTTTCTTTTTCTTGCTCAACAGGTACTGAAGGATAATTTACACTGAGCACTCGGAACCTAATCTGCAATCAAACACCCGAAGTTAACACAAACTATCACATAAGAAGAACTAATTATCATACAAATCTGCCAAGATGAAAGCATAACATGAACCTCGTCAATCCCATCGATAGGATAATTATCACCATTAAACTCCCATATCCACCTGACTTGGTTTCTAAAAGGGACACCAAAAAGGGAAACGTAAAAAAGAGGACATTAAATTAATATGGATCTAATCCGGCACAGACAATTTTAGCCATAGATTACTTAGATCACTTGACACAACAAAAACACTTACTTGTTTTCTGGGTCAGGTTCACAATGGGATGGTTTTGGCATTAGATCGATGGGAACATAGATGTCATCAAAAAATCCAAGAGACACTGCCAGCCATTGATTTAGTTTCAACATCAGCATGCAAATGCAACAACTATCAACAAATGATTCATCATTATGAGAAACACAAGAATTGCTAGATAGCAGCAATTCGTTTCACAAATAAGCAAGATATGAGTTTGAATTATAATAGCTACTATGTAACCATTGAAACGAAGAAAAGTATTGAGCATCAATCTTGAATAAAATGATTAATAATCATGGAAATGCTGTAAATAATGTCTAGAACACAACGTTTCTGTCATTATAAACCCATGAACCAAGCTCCCAAGTGCCCGACAGAAAAAAAAAAAAAATGAGTCAAGCTTCTAGAAGATGAACAACCAAGTGTCGTTCAAGATAATATAGCAATCTCATAAAGATTAAATTCTCATTACAAAGGTCTCAACTGTCAAATGTTGTTCCACCAGACTGTTTTTTACTGTATGGTAGAAAGATACCAATTAACTGAAAAAGATGGAAATGCTTTGAAACTGCTCAGTAGAAGCCTTGCGAGGCAGTGTATAATCCAAGATCTAGCAACACGTAACATCAGAAACTAGGGTCCAAATCTTAGATTAATAAGAAATAAAGCACAAGGAATGTCCATCCCAGAAATATATGATTTCTTCAGTGCCAAACCTTGAAAGAGTTTCACACCATCATCAAAATATAAGGGTAAATATCCCAAAAACACAGCATGTTTCATTAACACATAAGTCGGATTAAAATTCTGTATCCAAAATATTGAGCTTCAATTGTACCAAGGTGGACTCCTGAGCCTTTTGGTCTTCATCTTGACTAGTTAAATCCAATGAATACATAGGCAGAGATGAGGAAAACTATAATTGGGACTGTGACGAAAAAGGAGAAAACAACAGTTGGGAGAGAGATGAGCCAAACAAGTCTGGCCTGGTGTTGAACAAACTCACTCCGAGTTGTCATAGCAATAAGTGCTTTATTGAGCAGCCATAAACGTAGTCAAGAGTACGCATTCATAGTTACCACCTCCATTCAAGATTTGAAGATGGAAGGAAAGCTCTGTTTCCAAAAAATAATTGGCAGTGTGAGAGAGAGATTTGCTCCCTCAGATTTTCCTCATGATTTTTCTAGAAAATAAATGATTCTCAAGTCAAGCCATCTAGTTCTTAACTTGTCAAGACGCAATGACAATTAATGCAAGCCAGGTAAGGCTCAGCTCCTTGTGGGCAGATGATTTCAATGTATACCCTTGCAATGCAAAGAAAAAACTCAGCAATTCATATGACAACATGCTTACAAATAATTAGCCACCCGCATAGGTGATGAAAAAAATACATAAGATAATACAATAGCACCAACTTGTGACTAATTTAAAGAAATCAAAGAGAGAAGTCATACAGCGTACACCATTTGAACCAGACTCTTTAAGTTTTGCACCTATAACCTCCCCTACAAATGGACGAAACATTATCATCCTAAACCTTACCTGCCAGAACAACATGAATAATTACATAAGCACGTGCTAAGGGGGCTTTATACTCCCGATGGACATGCAATCATTTTGTCAAACATTCGAAAAAGCACTCTTGTGCATGATATGCAAAGATTGCAATTCAACATTGATTGGGATAGCATGCAGTACTTTTTTAAAAAGAAGAAGAAAAAGCACTCTTGTGCATGATATGCAAAGATTGCAATTCAACATTGATTGGAATAGCATGCAGTACTTCTTTAAAAAGAAGAAGAAAATTTTCTATAATGCTAGTTTAGTGGCAATTAGAAAAAGCACATCAAATACCGTCAGACTAAACATGAAGCACATACATGTTTAACTCCTGAATGACTCACCCCCAAGAAATCTTGAGCCCAAATACGAGTGTAAAATGTCTACCACATCAAGAATCCATCAGCTCCACAAAGCATCCTGGTTTGAATATACTACCTTTTCCACTACTGCACTAGCTTCTAAACCACCGCAACTCCAATTTTCATCGTGGACTTGTACATCCCGGACCATCATTCATGGGTTGGAGACATCTAACATCCACATCAAACCAATCCCCCTACCCCAAAGGGATGCGGAAATTTATATAGAATGTTCAATATCATCATTAACCAAAATTGTGAAAAGTTACGAATTTGCAAACATTCCCCAACTATTAACAAGGAAGCATAAACTTCCCCCTACCCCAAAAAATAAAAAAACCAACAAAAGAAGTCCCAAACAAAGAATTCTATAAATGGAAAAGATTATGTAAAAGAGAACAAGACTATCCATAACTTACATCACTTACACCGCCCAAAGTCCCAAACATATAGCTAGATTGTACACTAGGTACAACCATTTAGAAAAGTCGACATAAACAAAGAATATAAATTGCATTGTAACATGAGTAAAAACCTACTGAGATGAATTGGGACCATGAACAAACATTATAAAGATCAGCAAAATATTAAACACCAATAATAACACAATTTAATCATACCGTATAGGTGGGAGAACCTTCTCCGGGAAAGATGAAGCCACCATCAATGGATTGAATATCATAAACAGATAAACAAAGCCCCAACTTTGATATAACCTTGCATTATACAACCATTTTCCCAGTCACTTTACTGGGTTCAATAATATTACAATTATATCGTGTAGAATGCAAGCACAAAGAAGAGTATATACTGAATTCACAAAGGAAAAAAAAAAGGAGAAAGACCTTATCTAAAAAAAGTCCCTCAAGCTGTTCCTTAATTGCTTCTTTGAGAGGAAGATGGAGAAAATGAGGTGGCAATCGGATTGTATGCTCCATTTCACTCAAGTAGAACATTTCTTTTTCTGATTTTTTGATTCGATCAACGGAACCAACTCTGTTTGAACCGTAATAGGATTTTGGTCTCCCACAAGAAAAGAATCAAACTGCTACAAGAAACACATAATGGAGTTAAAGAAGAAAGGAAAAATTATATTTTTGTGGTTGTACTGAAACACACGGCCTTGATTCAATCGATAGAGTGATAAAACCCAGAAAAGGGTAATGGCAGTGGCCCGTTCCTCTCTTCTCACTCTGATTGTTAATTATTGTTTCAAGAATGTTAGGGAATATATAGATGTGGTGATTACTGTCGCGAATTGTCGATCGGTGCTGGAGAAGTGGCTGTGGTGAGTATTTTAACCCTATGTCGCTCGTTTCCGCAATGGCAATCACGAGCACATCGACAAATACAGGGAGGCTAGGGTTTGATTTAGACTTGAGAGAGAGGGNCTCGTTTCCGCAATGGCAATCACGAGCACATCGACAAATACAGGGAGGCTAGGGTTTGATTTAGACTTGAGAGAGAGGGAGAGAGCCCTAAGTAGCGATCAAAACACGGGATTTTTACTTACCAAAAAAAAAAGAGGGTAAAACAGCGAGAGTTCCACGTTTAGGGATTTTTTTTTATTTGGATTAATTGTATTAGAGGTCCTTAAAGTATGAGATTTGTCTTATTTTGGTTCTCAATATTTCAATTGTATCATTTTAATTTATGAAGTATTGAATATGTTTCTATATGGTCCTTCAAGCAGACAACGTTCAGATTGCTAACAATTTTTTCTTATAAACTTGTCACGTAATAGCTAACTATGGACAAAAATAATTTTGATAACTCTTAAACAAAATTTAGNTAAACTTGTCACGTAATAGCTAACTATGGACAAAAATAATTTTGATAACTCTTAAACAAAATTTAGATAGTTCTTAACAAAAAAATGTGTAATGTGAATAATTTTTGACTAAAATTTGAACAACTCATGATCAAATTTGTGTAATTTAAATAGATATTTAACCAAAATTTGAGTAAAAATTTGGTCAAAAGTTATCCAAATTATTTTTTTATCCATATTTAAGTATCATGTGACAAATTTGTGATAAAAAATTATTAACAATCTGAACACTGTTTGTTTAAAGGACCATATAGAAACATATTTAATATTTTAGAGATCAAAATAATGCAATTAAAACATTGAGAACCAAAATAAAAAAAAATTTATACTTTAGAGACATCTATCGCAATTAACCCCTTTTTATTTTAGATTCAGTCTCAACACTGTTAAGTCCAAAACAAGTGAAACAACATCTACAGCTACAAGAACTGAAAACGAAACACAAATTTGAGCACGAGGATGAAGTGAATTCGAACCCGCAGAGTCCACGAAGGTTCTGAGGCAAAAACCGAGGAGGTTGAATGTTGGGAGCTGGTCGAAGATGAGAGACAGTCAGCAACGGCACGGCAGAGAGGCTCCGGTGGCTTCTTCAGCTGCGAAGATCTCAGCCTCGATGCTCCACCAGCACCACCCAACTGAAATCTTGAGCTCTTCGTCAAGGTCTATAGCTCGTCGACATCAATGTACCTGTATAAATACGCCACAGTGTAACTATCTAAACATGTATACAAACCCTATATTCATCGTCTGAAGCTGTGTCTTTATGAGTTCACTGGTAATCCGAACTTGAAGCTACGGTAAATCAACTGATTAATTTGAAAAAAAAAATACTTTAAGTTGATTTATATTGACTGGTTGACATTTTTTTGGCAATTACTCTATCCGTTCTTAAATATTTGTCATTTAAAATTTTTATTCAAAAATTAAGGAAGCTATTTATGCGTAAAAAATAATTACACAAGACTATAATAATACCCTTATTCAATACGTATTTGAAAGAAAAAAATATGAAAAACACTTAGGCTCACCTAATCTAATACATTGAAAAGTTAAAGGTAAATTTAGAAAAAAAAATATTAATTATACTTTGGTTTCATTAAACGATAGATATTATGAAACAAAAAAACTTGTGCAAAACGACAGATATTTAAAATCGGAGGAACGGAGAANGACAGATATTTAAAAACGGAGGAACGGAGGAAGTAATATTTTGGGAGAGATTGCACTAAAAATACAAGCCCAAGAAATTCGCAACTTGTCTAAAAAAACTCATAGTCTATTGAATTATCAGTTCACAATCAGACATAACAATAATCAGAGTTCACAATCAAAATTCTCCCAAAAATCACCATTCCCAACCCATTTACCAAAACAACCATCAATTCCAATCAAAATAAACCAATCAGATGTGTGTTTGGCCCACTTTACTAAACTCGATTCACACAACCAACACGTGAAGAAAAAACCAAGGTAAAGAACCAATGACTTGCAGCCCATAGAAATTCGATTAATTTGATGTAAGTTATTATAGATTTCATTTAATTAAAGGAAATAAAATCAATGAAGTAAAAGTTTTTTTTTAGGTCACATAAATCAATTAATTTACTAATAACCCGATATTTTTTCAAAATTTCGACATGGTTCCTTTTGAAAATATGAGATTATGAAAATGAATGATTTATACCCAAAAACCAAAACAACAAGCAATTTCACATCAAGCCAAACATATCTCCATAAACGCAAATCCGGTTAATTTGATATAGGCTAGTATTTATATCATTTAATTAAAAAAAGTTAATTCAATCTAATAATAACTCGTTATTTTTACAAAATTTTGGTAGAATTTTCTTTAAAAATAGGAGACCATAGAAAAGTGAACTTATATGCATAACTGAAAAAAAAAATTACAATTCCCAGAAATCAAACAATCCATGCCCAAGGGCACGACGTAACCATAGTTGGACATCATAGTTTGAAATTAAGTTGGCGTCTACCCTAAAAATGCACAATATAAAATGCAAACAAATAGCAGTTTTATGTAAACTTGAGTGCATGATGCAGCTTTTGGAACAATTCACAAGCGTATTTATATTACACATAATATATCCACCATATCATTTGTTTACCCAAATAATACATTCAAAATAACACAATTTTTGTGATAAGTTGCAGAGTAGACAACTACATGATAATCAAAGCTATTATGTGGCATGAACACAACAGGCTTGCGGAAACGGCCGACGCAGAATGCGCAAGAAAGTGTGTATATACACCGCAAGTTCCATGTGTTAACTTGAACAACAATCTATGTAATGTTAAACAAGAAAGTATAAGAAAAGGATAAAAGCAAATGGATAAAGTTAAAAAGCATGATATATCATTAAAGTACCTTATTAATATCCCAATAAAGAAGTCTACGCTCATTCAATTTATCGAACACAAATGGACTCAAATTCTAAAAAAATTGAAATTTGTTTAGCGTTATACTAATGAGACACATATATTCATTGAAAATTTATCGTCATACATGTGTGGAAAAAGCTATTAAAACTATAACAACAGTCACAAACGTCAGATTACGTAATTTGCAACACATTTTAAAAAGTTGTAATAATTACACCGAGTCCAATAACACCTCCGGATATACAATATTTGTCGTGGTAACTGATCCATCAGGAGGGAGAAGGACATTGATGCGATCAACAGGCGTGCATCTAATACCACACAACACAAATAACTCTCAACAATCCAAATACGAATATTAGACACTCTTATATATAAACACTAACCAAGTCAAATGGCTAAAGCGACATTATTCATTCCATTAAAAACCTCATGAATTTGTATAGAAAATAATCATCAAACAATTCAAACTTAAAAAAAATTAGCAAAACAAAAAAAAAGCCAAATTTCAATGAACAATGTACATACCAGAAAAAAAAAATCAATGAACAATAAATCATTTTCTAAATTGCTCTTTTATTAAGGCCTTCTTCCCTCACAAATAATAACTCATTTTATCACTTTGTACAACAAAAAAAAACTAATTTCTTCTCTCATTAACACTGAAGAAAAAAAAAACTAACTGAAACAAAAAATGTGCAGACATAAAAGTGGGTGCATGGGCAAGTGATCAAGGGAACATATATAGACTATAGAATCATGTAAGTTTGAAAAATGTCACTACAACTACGGCATGCAAACAATATCCAAATTTTTGCACTCATTAAACCATCCATTAAATAAAAATAAAGAACTACATTATCTAAATCACATATATTCAAACTGAAACTATAAAATCATAAAATCCATGATAATTAAAACTATTGCACATACATGAAAGGTATAAGATATCATTCACTTAGTAAATGTACAAGTACTATGAATAAAAAAATTTAGTAATCAACTACTGAATTGCAGAAAATTCAAGCCTGTGCATAAAAGTTAGGATGATAATAAGGACAAAGTGGAGCAAAACATACTTTCTTCGTAATGGGCACTTAAAAATCTTGCAAAGCAATAGAAGATTTAGAGTCATAATTATAATTAAGCCAAAACTTTAATGAATAAAGTCACTGAAGAAAATTTTTCCATATATTCATTGGAAAATTTTAATATAGTTTAAATTCTTAAATTGTGTCACTATAGTTTAAATTGATGAATGGTTTTGCGAGCGTATCAAGTGTACCACATATTCTACCGCTATATAAGTCATAAGATGTGAGTGTGAAAAATAATACTGAGGACTTTGCCTAATATTTGGAATTGAAGGATACACAACGTAATTATTCACACATAAAGTAACCTAAAGTGATGCAATTACCAATTCAACTGAAGCAGAAGAAATGCAATTAATAATCCCCAAATTCGAATTGAATCTAAAATAACTACAAAGTTCACACCAAAATCGAACATAAAGTAATTACAAAATTCATTGAATCTTATCAAATCAAATTCAAATTACATCTAATCAAACCAAGTTAACCTAAAGTAATTGTAAAATTCGCATTTTGTAATTGCTTCATTATTACACTTTTCTAATCATCTTACCAAAAGTTATCGACTTATGGAGTTATGGGTTTTCTTTAAACTATTCTAGAAACCATTTCTCCTTTGTGTGTGTGT